AGTGGAAAGCCATTTTTTACTCACATAAATTGAAATGGTTATAAAATACATATTAATTAAATAATTACAACTAAAAATAAAACTTAAAAAGTATACGCTACCAATATTTAGAAAAATTTCTTAGCTCCCACATAAAAATGAACATTGTATTTACTCATCTGTTCTTCCTAAAATCTCTTTTGTTCTCCCTTCTTCAAGATTCTAGGAGAACCCCGGATTTTATACTTCTGTAAGTATTACTGTGTGAGGTCAAACCATTTCTAAGTAACTGTAATCTCCAATTTGATTCCTCATAATCAGTATCATACTTTTACTGAATGCTTACTTGACATAGTAGAATGTGCTAGGGGTTTCTTATACTATAATTTGTCTAAAACATAGTCTCTGTCCTTAAGGGACTTGTCATTAAGGTAGGGATATCTGCAAAGTGAACACAGATGTATGCATAAACACACATGCACGTGTATGTGCACACACACTCACACATGTACACAAAGTATCAGTCCAAAATAGTGGTATAAGAAGCAAGTTCTTTAGAAGTGTGGAGCAGAGTGCATGGTCCTGACGGTAAAATTCCTTGGGAAAGCCTCTTGGGAAAAAATAGGACTAGTCCTGTAAGGAAAGGTAGAATTTAGGTAAGAGAGTAGAGGGGAACCAGAAAAGGGAAAGGGCAGAAATTCAAATAGTGTGAGGGAAATAAATGCATTAATTTGGAAAAAGGCCTTTATTCAGGACACGGAATAAAGCGAAAACAGGAGTGGAGGAAAAGGGTTAAAATATGGAGCATGGAATATAAATGATAATTTGGCATCTCTTGTTCTCCACAATTTGTAAGAAGCACCAGACCATATCTATTTCACTCTTCTAATGCTTCAAAAAACATAATCTCCACCAACCTCAGGTATATACTCATATTCTACTATGTAGAATTTTACTATAATGGAATTGAATTAAAAGACTAATCAAAAAAAGCACCAGTGTTTTCTCCTGAATCTAATGATATTTAGGTTCTTAGATTCCTCAAGTAAAATGCTGAATTCTTCATCTTCCCTTTTGAACCTGCTTCTTGGGTCCTCTATTTCTCTTTGCAGACTTTTAAAGTGGCTATGAATTTTCCCAATTTTCCTCTTTGTCCCTAGCATTCAATGGCTTGTCTTGTTCTGGTATTTCTTTTCACAGCACTTCTTATATGGATTCTTTGCTCTCCACTCCTAGTCTTGTACTTGCGTTAGATATTACATACTGCCAGAATTAATTTTCTGCTTCCAGTCTCTCCCAATTTCAGAATATCCTCCTATACATGAGTTTCATTAAGTCATGGTTCATTCAGTACACTTTTAGATTACCCTTCCTAATGTATAGCTCTGATCGTGTCAAACTCAAGCTGGTAACAGTAACAAGCTGTATATTGACTGAAACAAACACCATAGCTTGATATTTAAGTCACTCAGCAGTCTGGTCCCACTTCCTATATTCTAAATTCTATATTCCCTTATATATTCTAAATTCCTGTCAAAACTAATACTCAATGTTTTCAAGATACACATGATAAGTCCCTGATTCTGGGTTGGTGTTGTTCTATTTGAGTTGTTCATTGCCTAAAACTTCAGATAACATTTTCTTATCTCAAGAATCCTTTATCCCACTGATTCAGTAATGTGCTACCTATGATAAGTCCTTGTGTCATATTGTTTCACTTTTTATTTTTAGAGACAGATAGAGTCTCACTCTGTGGTGCAGGCTGGAGTTCCATGGCATGATCAGAGCTCACTGTAACCTCGAACTCCCTAGGCTCAAGCTATCCCCCTGACTGAGCCTCCTGAGTAGCTACGACTATATATAGGCACACACCACACCCAACTAATTTTTCAAATTATTTTTGTAGATACAGGGTCTCACTATGTTGTCCAATCTGGTCTTGAACTCCTGGCCTCAAGCAATCCTCCCACCCTGCCCTCCCAAAATGCTGGGATTACTGGCATAAGCCACTGTGCCTGGTCTCATGTTGTTTCAGTTTTATGGATCTGCTTACTTTATGAATTATAAGAGGAGAATGAAGGAGAAGAAAATGGATTGTCAATGAAACTAACCACAAACTTACAGAGTGCCTTGAAACAAGTATTAAAATGCAAAATACAAAAATATTTTCATATTGTTTATAGACTCATTTTTAGTAACAGTGAGGTATTACAAGAAGTAATATAAATTGCTACCTATTTACACAGCACTATGGGAGACACAAGGAGCAATTATTATGTTCCAGGCACTCATTTCATTTGCAAGAAGCTTATGAAGTAAGAAGCATTATATTATTACTTACCTCATTTTCAGCTGAGAAAGCTGAGGAAAGAAATGTTAAGTAACTTGCTCAATCCCACTTGGCTATTAACTATTGAATCTGGTATTGGAACCCTGACAATCTGGCATTACAACCTATGCTCTGATACCACTAGGCCCTACTTCCTCTTGTTTACAATTGCATCAGCATAACTGCCCCCCTCTAAAACAACAAGTAACGTGACTTCATTTCAGGAGATGTAACTATGCTATGTAAATGTCTTATAAAAATTATTTCACTTCTGTTTAATTTCCAAAGTATTTTGAAATGCATTCAATTATATACAACCAAATTTTGATTGAGAGAATTAGATCAATATTTCTACCTTTGCCTAATAAAATACATAACATGGTTTAAGTACAAGCATCTTAAAACTTTATAAAGGTGAAGATAGAGAATACTGAAATATTCCATAAATATTTGACATCTGTTATGCAAAAGCTAATGATAGCAGCGGAGACAGATTTAAGAATGAATATTGACTCAATATTTTGCAAGATAATTAAAATTTTGATTATAATCGATACAATTTAGAAAAAGGGAAAATTTACACTCCTTTTAATTTTTATTTTTTCTGAAATCTATTTTCAACAAGCCAAGACAAATTTTCCTTTTATCTATGGAAAATAAACCATAAGTATTTTTCACATGCACTAATTCATAGAAGCATAAAATGTGTTATATATTAACTATGAACATTTTAACTTTATAAAGACGTAGCAGCAATATACTGGACATTATATGTATAATTTTTAGATGTTATCTAATACATACTAATATTTCTCTGAAATATTTCATTAACTTTAATAATAAAATGAAAAGTCTGAAGTAGCAATTGCCAAATGAAAAACAAAACCCATCTAACAATGCTACAATTTAGCCCAATTACTATTTCAGGTTCTAAAATATAATGTTTAATAAACTATTTCATTAATCATTTTTTACTTTAATATTTTTAGCACCAGACGATTACATTTAAAAAATAAGTCTTTACATATCCTCTATAGGTAGTTTATAACAACCACTATATACTGCCTATGAGCACAGGGAGTTGCACCAACAGCTTAAACACTTTTATTAGGAACGTCTTTTATTTCTCTGAAATAGGTCTTTTTTTTTAAAGCGGAAAACAGGATCTAACTCTTGTTTGCTCTTTAAAGTTTTATTGTTTTAGCATTTTATACAGGGAGTGAGCATTAGCATACTCAGGAGAACTGCTGAAAGTAAAAGGCCGCAAGCTACCCACTGCATGGCTGATAGGATAAAGCGGGGATATAAAAACTTTTGTCTGATTGCTCACTTTCCTTGTTTTAGAGTACTGCTACTCTCAAGAGCATATATTCATGTTCTTTCTACTTCGAGTTTTATTACTTCTTTTGTATTATTTAATACATCTAAAGACACTTCCAAAAGACAAATTTTTCCATTTTGAAGAAGTAATGGTTTGGAACCTGATAAAACACATTAATGTTCACAGTGTGTTTTTTGCAAAGGTGATAGAGTAAAAGTGCTATAAAGCAATTAGGCATATGATCTTAAAGACATTAATATGTCAAACAGAATAAAATGTTTAAAAAGACAACAAATATAATACCCTGTGAAAGGTCAAGTGAAAATGGGTACATATAAAGAGCATATTTCTCTTTCAGACCTTTTACTAGATATTGAATGGAAAAATAAAGGAAGACAATATAAAAATGAGAGAAAGGACTAATCTTACCTCAATAACTTGTAATTAGAAGTATGTGACGTTTAATTCTAGGAAGTACAGACATAAGTTGCAACTCAACCTGACAGCTGAATGGTGCACACCCTTCATTATTCAGATTCAAATTTTTTTTCCTCTGAATTCTCAGTTCTACCAGGGTCAATACATTTTAGTAAACAAGACACTAATATGCTTGACACTACTGAACAAAGCCAGGCATTTTTAAAAGTGTCATACACATTTCTGAAATCCACAATACATCAATTTTTAATACTTCTACTCTCTCAGCTCCATTAAAAAGATGGTAGGGGAAAGATTTTAGAGTAATTAATGATATAGTTAGCTGCTAAATATTAATAGGAATCATAGTCTTGCATAAAATATAACATATAAACCTTGCCAATACAGACGCACCAGTAATTAAAGTTGAATATATAATTACACTGATTTATAAGACAGGCAAAAAGTTACACTTTACTAGCTTCTATGTAAACTGTGGGTAACAGTTAAACTTTCCATTTTACGGTTTATAAAAATGGGCAATATCTTGACTACAGTTCATAAATAGTTTAGAGACCTGTAATAGTAGTAAAAATTATAACAACTTATTCCATCATGAATATTCTTATTGCACCATACAAACCAAACTGTGATAACCACCCATAAGATGTAGATTCATCTTAGACACTGCTTTACGCCCAAGAGAACGTTAGTAGTACTAAGAATCTGTAGAGGACTGCTGGAACAATAATTATAGGGTATTTGAGATAATCTAAAAAAGTATTAAAACCAATTTTGATCAACTTTGTCATATTATGAACATGGTATCATTTAACTCCACTTAAATTTGTATTTTTAACTGATACAACAGTAAAAACTTCAGAAAAAATACTAAATTTAAGAAGCATATTAATATAGATTCTTCCCTTTAGAGAGTCTGTTAACCACACTTACATGTGCGGCTGAGGCGAGCAGCCCGGACTACTGTTTCCGTTGCTGTCAATGTGATCCAGAGAACCATTGAGGTCTTCGTGGACAGCCTGCAGTAGGCCACTGGATGCATTATTGATCAGTCCAGGATTACTTAGCAAAGGTAAACTGCTCTCTGCCAAGGCAGCCTAGTGAAATGAAGAGTGTGTAAAACAACTTTCAAAATGGCGTTTAAAATAATTTTTAAAACATGTATCTTCTTTTAATGGGTTCAAATAATGAAACAGATATTTCAGAAGGATTAAAAGAAAATTTATTTAAAAAAAAATTCCTAACTGGCTACTTGTGGCAGAGATGCAAGGAAATTAAGTGTGATGCAAACATATAAACAACAGTCCTTGCAGCAAACTTTCTCACTCATGTTTCAACCTTTGGCATAATGAAATGTTAAATCCACACATGTAATGAAATACTCCAGTTTAATATAAGCAGTTGCTCTGCTTTTTAAAAAATGACCAGAACTTAACTCAAAATAAAGAAGTCCTGACATTTGCCTCCTCTGCATAAAAATTATATATTATAATTAAACTTTAAAGTTTTTGCCACAAGCACCATGTTCCCCAACACTATGATGTGAAATCATTTATGACAGCCTGGATAAATATTAATGCATAGCCACATGCATTTGCAAAAGCTTCTATCAATCTAGCATTTGCAGAAAAACCGAATGTTCCAGATTTTGCCACAGGGTGTCCTTCTTGCTTCTTCACATCAAAAGTAGCTTGAATTAGAACCATTGCTGTCTATAGTACTAGGTACTACAACTTGGATGATAAACCAACTATTAAGAACAATCACAATGTCACCTAAATACAAAGACATGCCAAAAAAAAAAAAAAAAAAAAAAAAGCCCCAAACATTCAAATACAACAAAACTGGAAAAGTACATTTAATGATATTACCTGCAAACTGGCATTAAGAGCTGCTCCATAGCCTAAACTGGTAGGTATATTTTTTACTAAGGTTGGACTTCTGGAAAAAAAAATAAAGATGATTTATATGTCAAAATATAAAAAATGTGGATATCAAAAGTCTCAGCTATAAAGGTATGTTCTGGCTTGTCTCACACTAATAGTCCATACTGGATGTATCTAAGGCCACAAAAATAAGGTAATAGAGTTCAAATATATAACTCTTTACATAATACAGATTAACTTGATCCAGGAATATAAGAAATGAAACTTTAGACTATGGTGTGCAGGCAAAGTGAGACATGACCTTGAGGATCTCTAAACCTGTTTCTAGCTGTGTGAAGGTTTCATTTGCAAGAAGAACAACATTCATATAAAAATTTTAAAATGTAAATATACAACACAATTACCAATTTGATGCAATCAGGAAATAATTAATGGTTAATTTCTAGAACACCATGAATTAACATAACAAATTACCATAGTTAATTAAATGACAACATAATAGATTAACTATTTCTTGAATGCAGAAATTAGCACATACTTGACTACAGAAATCAAAACTCAAGGGCCAATAGTAGATAAAATACATTAAAGTCATCTCTTCATA